TAAATATTAAATGTTTTATTGAATTAGTTTTTTATCTTCCTATCTGATGATGATAGTAACAGTACTACTAATAAAAATAGAATAATAGCTTATTCTGTAATACGTCAGTCTTCCTCAGTTTAGCACTTTCCAATATGCTGGAAATTGTTGTGCACATTTGAACAGCACCAAATTGGGAAAGGATGGGATTCAGACAATGATATTTTAGGAGTAATCTTCTAAAACAATAATTCGGTATTCAAACCCACAGTGCAGTTACTCAGGAAGCAATAGCTACTTCATAAATTTCCAATGTGCACACACACATATGAATTCATTAGGGCAAAATTAATGACTTGAGGAAAATGAGCTGATTTTCTAAGAGGGAAAACAGTTATCACCTAAGGCTAGTTTTTAATTCTTTTCTTCCATTTATTGACTGAAGGCAGTACTAAGCAGAATATATAACAATGAGGACAATTAGATTCCAAGTGACTGATGTGAAACATTTTGAATATTACCGTAGTCAATATTTTGTCATGTTCAAGGATTAAACAACTTGTTTTCCTAGCAACGGGTAACAGCATTTTTGCTTACCAATGTGCATGTCAGAATACTGTTAAATAAATTTGTCTTGCTTTTGTTAGAAAAATTATTTTCTTTGATTCCTAAAAATTAGAAGACAGAATGGGCATAGCCCATAAAAAAGAATCACAATTCTTGATAGAAACTGGTGCTCTCTATATAAATGGCAACTACCGTGTTTTCCCAAAATTAAGACCCAGTCTTTTTTTTTTTTTGCTCTAGAATAAGCATTAGGGCTTATTTTCAGGGAAACACGATATCAGGTGATCAGCCCGGTTGGATGCCTCACCCCTGGCATGCACACAAGAGGCGGCAAGCACGCACGGGCCAAAGGTGTCCAGCAGTAGCTGTAGCCCACTGGCCCCTTGGTCGGCGCACTCTGAGGCTGTGTAGCCCAGGCAACACAGATTAGTTGATTACCTTTCCAAGTAGCAGACAGCAGCGGAAGTGCGGGGGGAGGCACATGATCTGGACATGCCACACGGGCCATGGAAAAGCCAAGAGTCGGTGGGCACGTGGCCACGGGAGCCTTGTCTTCATGTGATAGCACTGGCAGCAGGTGGAGGCAGAGGCATGGGGGGGGGGAAAGCAGGTGATCCCAACACACCACAGGGGCCACAGGCAAGCTGAGAGATGTGAAGACGAGACTCCAATGGCTGCCTGCTGGCTCTGGTCCACCGACTCTCAGTTTCCCATGGTCCGTGTGCCTCCCCCTTGCTTGGACAGGTAATTCACTCACCTGGGCTGTGCGGGCTGCATCTGCTGCCAGACACCCATGCCCTTGCTGCCTCCGGTGCTGGCCACACTCATCCACACACATACCCCAGCTGATGACGACCTTAACTGGGGCTTATTTTTGGGGTAGGGCTTAAATTAGGCACATATAAAAAACCAGGCTAGGGTTTATTTTCTGGTTAGGTCTTATTTCCAGGGAAACCCAGTAGTAAAGTGGTGAGCAACCCCATCCATTATTACTAGAATCTACTTTTTTATATCCATCTACTTTTCCATGTCTGTATTCTGATAAGAGCAGGACACATATGGCCTTTCAAAGTTCTCTTAAGTTAACGGTGAAAGAAATTGCTTGATTTCTTAAAATTTGTTCAGGGGAAGGAGAAGATCTCTAAGAATTTTCAAATTTTCCCTTTGTGATAATAGCAGTACTTTAGTACTTTTACTTTTTTAAAAAACAACAAAAGCTCAGTTGAAGCATTTCTTTGATGTTACAATTTCTTTGATGCATGAGAACCAGGGCAGTCACAAACGGTTGGAGAGAATATTGTATAATGAATGGCAGTACCTTCATCCTTAGCTGACATGCAACTAAATAAATGCAACAGCCCCACACACTTCCCATGAGAATTTCTCTGAATTCTCTTCTTTGCAAGAAAAGGGAAGAAGAATTGTCTTTCATGAAATTGAATTGTAACTGACAGAGAAAAAGTTCAAGACAACTTCTCTGCCTTAAGAACTGTCAACCAGCATATTTCTGGAGCTGTCAAGAAACAAACAACAAATTTGACAATTCCTTCTTTCTGTAAAGACTTTATTGACCACGTGCTAAACTTGAGAGCCTCATAGCGGTGAGAGACATTGCAACATCTGTTTGTTAAAGAACAGATTTTTCTAAGGATCGGGAGAGAAATTGAGCTGTAGTGTCCTGGCTTGAACTGTCTACAGCAGGGGTCTCCAACCTTGGCAACTTTAAGCCTGACAAAGCTGGCTGGGGAAATCTGGGAGTTGAAGTCCTCCAGGCTTAAAGTATATATTTGAGTTGGGAACAGGTTGACCCAATCATTACATAAACGCTTTGATTTCGAACCCTACCCTACCCCCTGCCCTACCCAATCCTTTATTAAAATAAGACAGAGTAAAGTGAAAATGGAGATATTGCTGCATCCTTTGTTTGTTTCTGGGAATTTATTTTTAAACAGCCCGAATCACTGTTCAGAATGGAAGGCTGCTTAATTAGGTTACCTTTCAAGCTTGTCTGAATATTCCCTCAATCTGCTGGGAGGCAGATGTCAGGAGAGGGCGGGTATCCTCCAAATCATCATTTCTTTCTTTAGGCTAACTTGCTTAATTTTAAAGTTTCCAATGCTGATCTGTTTGTGAAGAAATGGAAGTCCACAAGTCATCCGCCTTCTATGAAAGAAGAGAAAATCCAGTATAAGTTACAGCTGCCTCCTACACTCTTCCAGCAGCCATAGGATTTCAGTCTGAGACTTTTATATAAGATATGGAAGGATGGAAGGCAAAAAAGAAAGAAAGAAAGAAGAAGAAAGAAGTTAGCACTTTGAATAGAGTGCTTACTGAACTATAAAAGAGCCCTCTGCACAATAGCAAGTGGGATTTAAAGAAACATTTGTTATCCATTTCCTTCCAAAGCAGATAAAAAGCATAGTTAAACCAGTCAACATATTCTTAACTGGGGGAATGTGCAGTGTCTTCCCTGTGACAGCCTTTCAGTATAGGTAGTCCTTGACTTGCAACAGTTCATTTAGTGACCATTTGAAGTTACAATGGCACCAGTGGTGGGTTGCCCCCGGTTCGCAATGGTTCTATAGAACCGGTAGTAAAACTGGCGGGAGTCTCTGCCATTCGACCCTGACATCACCAAAATGTTGCGACGTTGCTTCGCTCGTGCACGCTTGCACAGAAGAGCGCGTGCACGAGCGAAGCAAGTGTGTGCAGTCCCGCTGCGAACCAGTAGTAAAGGTAAGTAGAACCCACCCCTGAACGGCACCCCCTCCAAAAACTTATGACTTATGGCCGTTTTTCACATTTACAACTGTTGCAGCATCCCCATGGTCATGTGATCAAAATTCAGGCGCTTGGCAACTGACTTGTATTTACAATTGTGATTGTGGTGCCCCGGGGTCATGTGATCACCTTTTGTGACTTTGTCAAGCAAAGTCAATGGGAAAGCCAGATTCACTTAACAACTGTGGCAAGAAAAGTTGTAAAATGGGGCAAAACTTACTTGACAAATGTCTCCCTTAGCAACATAAATTTTAGGCTCAATTGTGGTCATAAGTCAAGACTACCTACTGTATATTTAGAAAACTGCTATCATTTTTCCCTTTAGCATTCTCTTCTTTAAGTTAAACAAACTCAGTTCCTTAAATCAGTCGCCATATAGATTTAGCATCTAAGCTCTTTCTCATCTTTGTCACTCTTCTGGGTCAGGTATCCCACAAAAACTGTTTCAGAAATAATTCAGTTGGATGTTTGTTTGCTTTATTCAATTTATTTGGCTGCCCATCCCCCCATGGTGATTAGGTGACTAACAGCAGTTAAAATACAACCCACAATAAAAATAAAATACATAACTGGCAATGAGGATAAAACCCAATCAAACATAATTAACATAGCCATATCATGGGCTCTCATTAACAGTCTCAGCCTAGGAACACAAGCATACCTTTGGGGTCTTAAAAAACAGCCAGAAAGTTAAAGTCCAATCTAACTCAGAAGAATAATGTTCCTATCATGCTCCTGTTAGAGCCTGAATCTGCAGAGAAAGATGAGTTGGAACTGGAGCCGACGGAGATTGAGGCAGCGAATTTGTTGGCTTCGGAGGAATGTGGGGAGGAACAGGTTGAATCAGGCCAGGGCCTTTCAGGATTGGGACAGCTTGTAAACAGGGAGGAAGGGGGACAGGATGACCAAGAGAGGCTAAGCAATGAACACGAGAGACAGAGCTCAGGCGATGAGCAAGGACCACCCCCTCCTAATCCTCGAACATGGAGAGTGGAGAGAAGGTGAGAACAGCGCAGAGTGACCCAACGACTCAGGAGGACAGCGCCCCACCTCTCTTCACAAGGCACACCTGGGGACTGAGACTTAAGGAGATGCTGTGGAGAGGGGCATTTGTTGGGAACAAATGCTGAATTACTGGAGTGTTGAGTGCCGTTGCCAACGTTTGAAGTTTCCTGGATTCCCTGCTTCTTCCTGGCTTTCTGGATTAATTGCCTTGCTGCTTTGCTTCCTGGACTCATTGACTGGCCCTGCTGGATTTCTTGCTTTGCAGACGTTGTGGTCACAGCGTTGGGCTGGACTACTTGCAGCCAGAGGCTGCTGGAGGTGTGTGTGTGTTTGCTCTGGGACTTGCCAGAAACGTGGGAGCATTTGGGGAAATTTGGAGCAATAAAGGGGCAGTTTGAACTGCCAGCTGCCTGCTAGCTAGCTAGCTAGCTAGCTAGCTATGTATGTATGTATTACATAGCACATGTTTATTTATTTATTTATTTATATTTATCCATTCATTCATCCATCCATCCATCCATCCATTCATCTATTCATTCAATTTGTACGACCATCCATCTTGGCGAGTGACTCTGGGCAGATGTACGAATTGAATAAATAAATAAATAAACATGTGCTATGTAATGAGAAGGGAAGAAAGCCCTGAAAATCTAAACTCAAAGATGTCTTGTAGAGATTTTTCTGTCAAGAATTGTATTACTGTGCAGTAAAGAAGGTTATTTCCATAGCAACATTATCAGTTCAGAAGCAGAACGCTGAGATTTTGAGTGCACAAGACTAGAAATGCCTTTCTAATTTTAAGTCATTTATCACTCCCCATCCCCATTCAGTGAGAAATTTACATCTTCATGCACCTGTTAGATAACTTGGTTTGTTACGGTTGTTTTTAGACTGCTGCAGCTAAAAGCAAAACCACATGATGCCTTTTCATCCTCCTTTGTAAAATTCCTCCAGTTATTATTATGTTAAGGGTATTTTAGGACAACACAGCAAGAAGATCTGTGTCTAAAGCTGGTCACAGTGCTCATAATAAAATTGTTTTGTGAAGTCTACTTGGAAGAGATTACAGCCGGGAGACCTCAGATCTCATGTTGCTTCAGGGTAAGCCATTGATGAGAAACAGTTTGGGGTTTTGTTCAAGGACTGGAGATACTGAGGATTCAAGTTCATCCTTAGCCAGGGAAACTTGGTGACTTTGGGCCAATTATATTTTCTCTGTCAATTCTACCTCACAGAGTTTTTCCCACCTCCAAAAATTGTACATTGTCTAGAGCTCCTGAGGGGAAAAAAATGGAACAAGGAAACAGACAAATAATACTATACTTGACATTTTATATGTTGTTGCAATTATATATTTGTCTTTTCTGCTTTCAACTAATATGACAATTTTAGGTAAGTGTACATTAATCTTACGTAGTTGGGAATGCTGGGGAAATTCTCCCATTGATAGCTCCTACTAATATAAAAAAGAGGAAATATAGGTGACACTTTTATATTATCAATAAATACCATGTTTCACGTGGTCCTTAAAACTGTATAGAACATGTGGCTCAGAATTGGGGAACAGACCCCTATGCTGAATGATATCATTGGGAATGATATTAATTTCCAAATCTTAACCTTCAAGATGCTTTTTCAAGGAATAAGGAGTACTTTACGTGGTTCTCTCATGGAAGTTTTGGAGTCCTGGTTTAGCTTATTCTGGGTCTTTTCTATGTGGCAAGTGAAGGCCATGTTTAGTAGAAGAATATTCAAGTGTTGAGTCTCAGGGAGGATTCATTATATGCCTTTGTCTTATATTGGTTTTCTATTTAGTTAGCAACTTCACATTGTTCTTTTGCTACTCTCTCTCCTCACTCCTAAAACAAACAAACAAAAAATTGTGGTGGTTGTCTCCCACAACACTCATACACACACACACTTAAGATCTTTTCGGTATGAAAACTCTATATGTGTGTGCATGCAGGGGTGGGATTCTGCCAGTTCGGACTGGTTTGGGAGTACCGGTAGCTCTGATGATCAGCTGAGAGTGAACAGGTTCGCTCTGACGATCAGCTGACCCTGCCCCGCCCGCCCCTGCACTATACCTACCTTTATTTCCTTTGTTTGAAGCCCAGCTGATTGGCGGATTGCCACGCCTCAGCTGTTTTATTCACCAGAGCTGCAGTAGAAGGTGCTGTTTTCAAATGTACTGCGCGCGGATCGCAGATCACCCATTCGCACGAAGCTTGCGTGAAGTGAACCAGTTGTTACACTGACTGAATCCCACCACCGTGTGCATGTTAGTGAGTGTATGTAAAGAAAAATGGGTGGATTAAATGAAAGGGAAAATTGAGGATTATGGGGACTTTTCAGTATGCTGGTGGACAAGAAAAGAAGGAATCTAAATAAAGTCATGGAGTAGTTAATATGAAGAATCCAAATAACTGAGATAGAACTGAAAGGACAAGTTTTTAATTATGGCTAACTAAAGAGGGGAAAGCTACCTATATCTGAAACTAAGATGATTGATGCATAATAGGTCATAGTGAGTTGGTGAAATGGTGTAATGGAATGGAAATTTCATTAGAAAATAATGTTCAGAAAAGACTGAAGTAGAAAGGGATGTGCAAGGACGTGAGGCCAGAATGGTTGAGAAAGACTTTACTTAAGCAGTGATTATTCTCGAAAAACAGTGACTGTCGGTTAATGCGGTCCCTAGCTAAAACAATACAATAATGTATATCAAAACTAAGAAAGGTCTGTGGTAGAAAATCCTGCTCAAAATTATTAAGCATCAGAAGGTACTGTAGTTTCATAAGTAGGCTTCTGAAAATCAATAATTATGTTCTGTCAATAAAGTAAAATGGCACACTTCTCTTGATAAACCATAATCTGGTAGCTTTCTGTGGGATTCAGAAGTTGAAAGTTTGTTCTCAAAATAGATTTATTGATAGACATGATATTTCTAATTCTTATAACTTTTTGGAAAGTCAAAACCTTCTTCCCTAATAGAGGATACCCTCCTCCCAGGCTGCTGGTGTTTGTTCAGCAGCTGCATTGCTTTTGCAAGATGAAGATGATATGGATTTTAAAAAGGAAAATATAACAGACTTGAACATTGGGCAAAGCCTACTCACAGCACAAATGGTGATCGTGATCTTTGAACTAACAGAATTGGAAGGGACTTTGGAGGTCTTCTAATCCAACCCCCTGCTCAGGCAGGAAACTTTATACCATTTCAGACAAATCTTAAAAACCTCCTTGTTGGAGCACCCACAACTTCTGGAGGCAAGTCGTTCTACTGATTAATTGTTCTAACTATTAGGAAATTTCTCCTTAGTTCTAGGTTGCATCTCTCCCTGATTAGTTTCCATCCATTGCTTCTTGTTCTGCCCTCAGGTGTTGGAGAATAGGTTGACCACCTCTTCATTGTGGCAGTCCCTGAGATATTGGAACACTGTTATCATGTCGCCCCTAGTCCTTCTTTTCACTAGACTAAACATACCCAATTCCTGCATTTATTCCTTATGTGTTTTAGCCTTTTGACTTCAGTAAAAAATAATCTTGACCTACTAAAGGAGTCCTTTGTAAAGTATGCTGAGAGTCATCCAAACAAAACAGCACACGATGTAAAGACACCTGCTGTTCACTCCCACAAGCAAGGAGCAGCTAACAGGGAATTTAGAGCTGACTCGGCTGCTGAAACAACTAGGAGAGAAGGAAATAACCATGGTGGGCTTAACTCTCAAGTAGAAAAAAAAAAAGGCAGAGAGGAGAAAAGCACAATCATTACTTACAGATCAGAATTCTAACAATAGAGTGAACAGAGGGAGATGCAACTTGAAAAGGGCAGTTGTTTTGTCCTTGAGCAAACAGCTCTACTGTGAAAGCTCTTTGATAGATCTGCTGCATGCTGAATGGCTGTCATATGGAAGAGGCTGCATGTGAATTCTGCTAACAATCTACTGTACATCCCCTTTCATGTATTTTTTTTTTTTAAAAAATGAAGCCCATTCTGAGCATCTTCTCAGTATTCCTGGTACGTGTCTTCTGTTCAGAGGGAGTTACCCCACTTTTGGACCAATTTTCCCACAAGGGTACTACTACCACTTTAAAATACAATGTTTAGCCATTTGAATTTGATAACCTCGGGGGGGAATGACCTTGAGAAAGAAGAACTCCAATCAGCAAACCGCATTATCTATAGCTAGAGAGTCTGCTGGAAGTAAAAGTTGATTGACTCATTTGGATCATTGCCAGGTTCAGAGCAAGCAGACACCATACAGGGATTGGATGAATTAAGGGAAACATTGGTGACAATAGCTCCACAGCAAAACTATTAATTAACCTGACATACTCCTACCTCAAGAAATTTGGCTAGAGAACAGCTTGTTTATAAGTGGGTGTAAGCCTTTCTTACTTGCAGCAGCTCCTGGAGCAAAAGAAGATAAATCGTGTGGTGGCTTAATTATTTCAGTTCAGCTTCATTCAAACATTATAAAGTTAGACCCAATGGAGCCCTGTGCAATGTCTGTGCTGCTAAAATTTAATAACGCTCTATTACTGTTGGTGAATGTCTAACTTCTGCCTTCTCAAAATAGGTCTCAATTTGACAGCTTATGGACCACATTTGAACAGGAGAGAAGTACCCTGAGCTGAGCACTCCATCCAGGACTTTATGCTCCTGAAGAATCAATGCAAACATCTATTAAAAAACAGGATTTCCTAGGGATTCCTGACAGCCATTGATAACAGCATCTCAAGTCAAAAATCCAGTTCTATTTGGTACCGGACAGCTTCCCACCTATTTCTTACCGCTTACCTGCATCTGTGTGGGAGCACCATTTTAGAGCATTTTATTTGCAAGAAGAATCTCCTAAATTTGATTTAAATCTTAATGTTACCATGCTTCCAAACTGGACCCCTGAAATAAAGCTGAAATAAAAATACTTGTATATCAGCTAAAGCCTGATAAAGCTCCAGGCAACGAGTTTATTACTCTTGAGATATTATGCAATAATTTCTTCTCTGTTTATTTATATGGATTGCACTGTGCAAATCCCAGAAGACTGGGTCTTAGCCACTATATTGCCCCTTTATAAAAAGGGCACCCAAGATCCGCCTGATAATTAAAGGCATATTAGCCATTTAAGAATAAATAAGCTCTATGAACAAACCCTTATACAACAAATTAGTTGACTTGATTGATATCATATTTTAGCAGATGAGCAAGTAGGACATTCTATCTATGGATATGCCCTTATGCTTCAGCACCTAGCTAAAAATACACATCTGAAACAGGTTCAATATTATATACTACATTTATTGATTTTTAAGCCTACATTTGATCTAATACCCACTTGAAATCAACTACAGTAAAACTAAGATCCTGATCCTGTTGTAAATCAAGGACACAGGAACCTATGATTTTTTTTATGCACAGTCATCATATAGGTATGGTTCAGTTTTCTTGAATGTGGCTAAATTTTGTGACCCGGCCTTTAAACTTGGGCAAACTTTGAGTATCCGCTGACAAGCCCACCACTAGTTGTAATATTTTCATTTGTTTTTATTTTATTTTTAATGTGTTTTGGTTTGCAGTTCTGTCTGGTGACCATAAAAAAAAAGATATATATACACTCTATAATCTCTATTGTGTACAATGATTAATGTGACAAAATATGTATTTGTACTCTGGGGAAAAGGGGCTCATTTCTATAGCTCATATACGTAATGTAATTAATTTGTCTGCCTAGGAAAGATTAATATATGCATCTCACAGTACTTTCTGCATGACAGAGAATCAAATTAAGCCCAGGAAAACAAGTTTCCCTATTGATTCCCTTAATGGTTTACCTCTCTGTTTTGCAAAAGAGAATTTGGTAAGAAGTGCCTTGGCATTTCTTGTATGCAAACTTCATGCCTGTCTACAGTGATTAAATTTGTAGATTTTATTTTTCCTAATGGAATGGAAACCCTAGTGTGCCTTAGTGGCTGGGTTTACACAACACGTTTAGTTTGGTGACTGAATAAACCGATTTTTTGGCTTCCAACTCTATATTAATTCATTAGCTAACCAAATAATAAGCTAATCAAGAGGTTTCAAGTCAACATGCTAA